ATCATCGACTGCAAAAACGCCAGAGTAGACAATATAACGATAGATCCTAATTCCCAGTATGCCAGGTAAGAGTGTAAATATGAAGAGTGAAAAAAGGAGTAGGGCCCAAAGAGACAAATCATAAAAAAATAAAAAAAAAAAAAAAAAAAAAATAAAAAAAAAAAAAAATAAATAAATAATAATAATAATAATAATAACGGAAAATACACAGTTGGTCTATTTCCTCGTCATAGCCTGCCGTTCATGAATGCGTCTGATCTGCTCTTCGATATTCATACTCTGAGGATTCGGAGGTGCGCCAGCAGGTCCGACAACAGGCGGCGGCACAGGACCCGAACCAGGCACGGCACCTTCGACAGCCATCTTCTTGCGACGGGCCTCTTCCTCCGGATCGACAGCCCCGGAACCAGGCATGGCAGCGGAATCGAATACGTCGCTTCGTTGACTGGCCAGACGTTTGAGGTTGTTGACCACGTCCACGGTGAAGAGGTTGGTGGTTGCGCTGCGGGATTCGGCCTTGGCGCGTTGTTCCTTCCAGCGCGGATCGAGCAGCTCGATGCGCATGTGTTGTTCCAGTTCGCCGACGGGGATCTGTTGGTGGCAGTTGGGGCAGAGCGCTGTGGCGCCTGTGGGGTTTTGGCGGCGCGCTTGGGCTCGCGGAACGTAGTCGGAGCGGATGCGCATTGGTTGTTGTTGTTGTTGTTGTTGGGGTTGAGCGGCGGCGGCGGCTTTGGCAGCGGCGGCTTGTTCGCGCGCTTCCATGCGTTCCCGGATGTATTGCTCTTCTTCTTGGGCGGCGGTGGACATGGGTGGGGGGACGATGGGTTGTTGAGGGGGCAGGCCTTGAGGGGGGTAGGCGGGGCCGGCGGGGATGATGGGTTCGGGTTGTTGTTGGGGATAGGCGTTGTAGTAGGTGGGGGTTTCCTCTTCGGTGGGCATGGCTTCTTCGATGCGGAGAGGATTGAGAGACATCATGGCTTTTTGTTCCAGGGAGGCGGATTGGAGGTCGTTGAGGGAGGTTGGGGGAGGGAGGTCGACTTGGTCGTCTGCTTCGGTGAAGAGGACGGTTTCGACGACGACGAAATCATGCCAGTCGATTTGGGCGTATGCGATACGCTCTTGCTCTTCTTCCTCCTCCTTCTTTTGTTTCTGCTGTTCTTGGTATTTGACCCATTCGGCGCGTTGCTTGGCGCGGTCGAGGACGTGGAATTTGTTCTGGACATTGTGCTCGAGGTCGGCGAGACGCTTCTTCTCTGTTGTGGCGGCGTCGATTCCTTCGGAGCGGAGGAGGATGGTGTATTGGTCGACGAGTCGGGTGAAGAACTGGTAGAGACTGTGTTGCGGGCGCAGGAAGTCGAACTGGAAGTTCCTGGTTTCTCGTTGGGAGAGCGCGGTCATGAATGATTTTCCACGCTTGGCGACGAATAGGGCCGTGAGCTTCACGACTTCCAGATCTTGCGCATTGATTATGGGCATCCGTGCAGAAAAGTGAAACTCCGGCGGTTCTTCGGGGCCCTTGGGCTTCTCGGGTTCAGCTGCAGGGGTTGCTTCGCCTGGTCGGCCTGCGGCCACTGCTGTTCCTCGTCCTTCCTTGATCTCGACAAGACGCCATTGGTAGAAGGGGGCATAGGCGTCACCGGGGTTGAGGAAGGAGAATTTGGGGTTGTTCCGTTCCTTTTCACGAACGCGATCTAAGAGTCTGCGCGTGAGCTGCGCGGTCCGAATGATAGAATAGTATGCAAGGGTGTGACGTACCTTCGAAGACGACACCATTTCGAGCGACATAGCCGGCCGTTTTCTCGACGATAGCTGTTTCAATGTTAGCTTTCAAGCGTCACCATGCCTCGGAGGCATCGACAAACTTACCTCGAATGTCCTTGGGTGGCAAGACCACGCCCTCAGGCGGCTTGCCCACCTCTTCCGGCAGCGGAGTACCTCCGTTACTTGCAGATGCCATGGTTCGCACTCCGATGAAAATGGAGAGACGCGGGATTGGATGAGAAAGTCCAGACTGAGGCGATTCGGCGACCTGCGATGTTCCTTTTCGGGTTGACTTCATTTCTGGGCGCGGCTATTGAAGACTAAGCGCGGGCGGACAGGCTACCCGCGCGCGTAGCCATGGAAGCTGGTGATTGGCTGGATTATCCCGAGGCTAAACCGCGATGGGCCAGTCCCTGGCGTTGTCAATCAATCTACTTAGTAACAAAGTACCACTTGACCGTTGATGAACGCTGGGGCAACATCTATAATTGATTATTATTGTATGTTGTCATGGCTCAAAGCTTGGACAAATTACTTAAATTTTGGGACATTATAGACTATAGATCGCTATAATTAAACTGCCCCTACGAGGCTGATGCTGGCGGCGTGCATGGGGGCCTTGCATATTGCTGACGGGCAGAAAACCAAGAGTCTCTCTCCAACTGCGGCCGACGATCTGGCCTTAAAGCGGCCGACGCTTTCGTCCGCCTCCCTAAATCGTCCCACACGTGCTGTGCTCGCTCTTCATCATCTTCCCTCTTACTCTCTTGCCTTCCCCGGTCCCCTTTTGTTCCGCTTCTTCTCTGTCATGGCGCTTCTTTTTTTGAAATAACTTCTTACCCTCTTTTGATTGTCCACTTTTTTGTTTACACCCCCCCCCCCCCACACCCCATCTACATCTGTGCCTGTTCAGCGGGGGTGGTCCCGAAGCTCCCCTGGAGTTGGAGCATTGTGCAGTAACGGGCTCCGTCATTGTTTCGCTTGCCCGCGGTAGCTCTTGATGATCAATTGCCCTTTATTTTTCTGCTTTTAGGATCTTCTGAACCCCTCCCCCGACCAGTCTCCTGTCCACTCCTTTTTTTCTTTCCTCTCTCTCTGAAATTCTCTCTTCGAACCGCCTTCGACAATGGCGGCCAAATCCAAAGACACCTTGGCGGTTACGCCGCCGCCGAAATCATCCTCACGCTCTCCCAGCCGCTCTCCGGGTCCCAAGAGCCGCAAGAAGGCCGTCGCGGCCTCCTCGAGCTATGCATCAGATGGCGTTACGGACAACAATATCTTCCATCTTCCCGCTTCCGACTATAGAACTCTGGCTCTGGTAACCATTGTTGCGGCAGTGGTCCGGTTGTTCAGGATCTACCAGCCTTCTAGCGTTGTCTTCGACGAAGTCCAGTATGTGTGCATGCCTTTTTCCGCCCCCCGCATATGCCGGAGATAATTTTGTTCTAATGCATGGCCGACAGCTTCGGAGGTTTTGCGACAAAGTACATTAAGGGCCGCTTCTTCATGGATGTTCATCCTCCTCTTGCCAAGTTGCTCATCACACTTGCTGGCTGGCTGGCGGGCTTTGATGGCGAGTTCGATTTCAAGGACATTGGAAAGGATTACCTCGAACCGGGTGTACCATATGTTGCCATGCGCATGCTTCCGGCGATTTTGGGTGTTCTCACGATCCCATTGATGTTCCTGACATTGAGGGCATCGGGATGCCGCACTATCACCGCGGTGCTAGGTGCCGGTGTTGTCATCTTTGGTAGGTCTCTACCCTGTCCGACTGGTCAATTGCACATGCTGATTTAGCGCAGAGAACGGTCTCATCACTCAGTCTCGTCTAATTCTCTTGGATTCCCCATTGGTGTTCTTCACTGCGCTCACCGCATTGTCTTTCACGTGCTTTACCAATCAACAGGAATTGGGACCTTCTCATTCCTTCCGTGGACCCTGGTGGTTTTGGCTCGCGGCAACTGGCCTCTCTCTGGGCGCTACCCTCAGTGTCAAATGGGTTGGACTCTTCACCGTTGCTTGGGTTGGGTCGCTTACCGTTCTCCAACTGTGGGTTCTGCTTGGTGATCCGAAGAATGTCACACCGGTACGTGCATCCGATCATCGATCTATATTTACTTGAGCCAGCAGCTAATCTCGTATTCTACAGCGCCTGTGGTTCAAGCACTTCTTTGCTCGTGTCTTCTGCCTGATTGTTATTCCCCTCAGCTTCTACTGCGCCATGTTTGGAATTCACTTCCTGTGCCTTGTTAACCCTGGCGATGGAGATGGATTCATGTCGTCCGAGTTCCAAGCAACCCTAAACTCTAAGGGAATGCAGGACGTTCCCGCCGACGTTGCATTTGGATCCCGCGTCAGCATCCGTCACCTCAACACCCAAGGAGGCTATCTTCATTCTCACAACCACATGTACCCCACAGGAAGTAAGCAGCAACAGATCACGCTCTACCCCCACAAGGATGAGAACAACATCTTCGTCCTCGAGAACCAGACTCAGCCTCTTGGCCCCTATGGAACAGTAGAGGGCCCCTTGGCCTGGGACAACATTACCGCGGAGTATATCGAAGATGGCGCTGTGATCAGGTTGGATCACCTTATTACTCGGCGACGTATTCACTCGCATGATGAACGGCCTCCTGTCACAGATGTGGATTGGCAATTCGAGGTGTCTGCATATGGCTACGATGGATTCCCCGGAGATGCAAACGATCTCTTCCGCGTTGAAATTGTGAAGTCCCTCTCTGAGGGCGAGGAGGCGAAGAAGCGACTGCGCACCATCCAGACCAAGTTCCGCCTGGTGCACGTTATGACCAACTGTGTCCTGTTTTCCCACAAAGTCAAGCTTCCCGAATGGGGTTTCGACCAGCAAGAGGTGACCTGCGCCAGAGGAGCTACTTTGCCCAACAGCATCTGGTACATTGAATCGAACAGCCACCCTATGCTAGCAGAGGATGGTGAGAAGGTTAACTACAGGAACCCCGGTTTCTTCGGCAAGTTCTGGGAGCTGCAGAAGGTGATGTGGATTACCAATGCAGGCCTGACTGAATCGCACGCTTGGGACTCTCGCCCGCCTTCCTG